AAATATAGGAATAAGGGAGCAGCTGCTCCTGGATTCGAATAGTTACCTGCATAACGACAATAATCTGAGAGTGACAATATTTTGTAACTATGTACAGTATTTCACAATTTACAAAGCAGTTTTGGGAGGACTAGCTTAATTTTAATTCATGTGAAAAAAGACTTAAGGGTTATTTTTGTTGCCCACAAACTTAAAATGAAACCAACGAAGTGACATGGAAGGATTAAAGCCAATAGGAATTCTCCTCTCGGCGCCCCCTTGGGGCTATCTACCTTTCAGGAAGAACATCAATAAATTGAAGTCATAATGAAGCAAGTGGGCAGAAAGGTAAAAATTTGGGAGCCAGGAGTATTCAGTGTGGAGAAGGGAAGACATTGTGTCAAATATTTGAGCAGCTGCCACATTAGAAGATTCTCCTATGCATTTTATTATTATCAAAATAATAAATTCCACCAATGAATGTGAATTTCAGGGATGAAGCTTTCTGGATAAAGGAGTGGATCTAAAAACACCAATGTTTCGGAAATAACATTGGAATCCACAGAATTGCTTGTAGGAGGGTAGGAGCTACTTTGGAAAATAGTTTGGCCCCATCCCCAGACATCACAGCCACACACCCCTCAGTCTGCAGGGTTCATTCCTGGACATACACGCCCAAGATACCATCTTCATGTGCACAGCAGGAAACATGCACATGAATGTTCACAATAGCAAAAAAAACCAAAGTAAATAAATAAAAAAATCCAGAAACAACCCAAATGCTCATCAGTAGGACAGTGGATAAGTAACTGTGAAATATTACACAATGGCCAGATGAATCTAGATGAATCTTAAGATAATATTAAGTGGACAGAGTCCCAAAAGATGACAAATAACATGATACCCCTTTTTAAAAAAGTTAAGCCACAAATATTAAAAATATGCATTAAAATATATGTATTCTAACATATATAAAATAGGTTAGACAAAGAAAGCCGAATACCATATGATCTCACTTACACGTGAACATAAAAAAAATAAAACAAAACAACAAAAAGAAACAAACTCACAGATGCAGAAAACGGGTTGGTGGTTGAGAGAGGCAAGGGGCAGAAGAGATGGGCAAAACGGGTGAAGGTGGGGGCGCCTGGGTGGCTCAGTCGGTTGAGAGTCCTGCTTCGGCTCAGGTCATGATCTCACAGTTCGTGGATTCGAGCCCTGCATCGGGCTCTGTGCTGACAGCTAGCTCAGAGCCTGGAGCTTGTTTTGGATTCTGTGTCTCCCTCTCTCTCTGACCTTCCTGTTCATGCTGTCTTTCTCTCTTTCTCAGAAATAAATAAAACATTAAAAAAAAATTTAAAAAATGGGTGAAGGTGGTCAAAAGTTTAGCAAATACATATAAATGCACTAAAACCCTTTTTTAAAAAGCAAGGTGATGAGCAGGTTGATGATTCCCACCAGCGGGAGGCAGGGAGATGAGACACGGGGCCACTGGTGACGTGGGTCATGTGCAGTGGTGATTTCACAGATGTTTACCACATTGTTAAACACGAACTAATCAAATGGAATGAGGCCATGCATGGATTCATGATGACAGTGTGTCATGAACCGCTTCAATTCTGTCCATCTGAGGCCACTGAAAAGAGGAAGAAGGAATGAAAAAAGGAAAGAACAAAGGGAGGGATGGAAGATTTTGAACTGGTATCATTGTGGCCCTGTGAGCAAGCTCCTTGTCACCCACATCATTTCAGCCCAGGCCAGGTGGCTGCCCAAATGCGTATGGTTGTGCAAGGTCCCTAACAGGGAGTCGAGCGGGTTTTCATCAGCCTGTGCTCTGCTTGCCAAGCAAGATCCTGGGGCAGGACTGTGTCTGCCCAGAGGAAAAGCACAGCAATGTGCTGTCCCATCACCCAGCCTTAAGCCCTGTGGCTGTCTCTGTCCAGTGAGGGCATTTTGTTCTCATAAAAAGCTCCACCCAGAGGTGCTTTCAAAGGGATCTTGCATTGGGTGTGGAATTGGACCAGGTGACCTCTAAGATCTCTTTGAACTCAAGGATATTTTTCAAGGAATAACAAGTGGAAAGAGGTCTGACCTACAATTCAAGAGACTGGATTGGACACTGTAAGAGAGCAAACTTTGTCACCCTAACATGTGTCTCTTTAGTATGTGGGTTATTTTAGGCCAATTATTTTAAGAAAGAGAAGGCTCAGGAAGAAACTTTGACCCTTCCCCTAACGGCATAAAAGAATTTAGAGGACCTGCTATCCTCCAAGGGAGGTGTCATCATTGAAAGCTACAGTATATATTAACTAGGTGTGGAAGAGAGGGAAGAATTTAACAAAATCTGTTTGTTAAAATTCCTCTGTCATTTCTATATGGCCCAGCTAACATTTACCCTTTTTCATCTTCCTGTGAATTGCATTCCTTCCCTTTTGAAATCCCACATTCCCACCGCCTTCTCTTTAGCTCTGGATGGCATATAAGCCTCAGTTGTCTGACTGCCAGGTAGGCTGTAGGGAGCCCCTACACATACATAATTAAATTTGATTTTCTCCTGTTGATCTGTCTCTTGTCAATTTAAATCTTAGGCCGACCAAAAGAACCTGAAAGGGTAGAGGAAAATTTATTTTCCCAAACACAGCCAAGCATTGCAACTAGCTGTGGGGTTCTCAGCCTTCATCACTGCTGCTTTGTTTTCTTGACTTCTAACGCTACTTGCCTCGGCCAATGGCCATGACACAAGACAAAGCATTAAAGATGCCAACTGTTTCCTCTCACCCACATGTCCTTCCTGCAGGTCTCTCTTACCACAGACTGTTACAATGTCGGGCACTGGGGCAGGAGGTCAGGTCCAGCATCACGGGAAGCACCGTCTGAGCAGCCAAAATGGGAAATCAGGAAGCCAGTGAAGGAAACTGGCTTCTGGGAAGGGACATGGAACAGGCAAGTAGAGAGGAGCAGAATCCCAGTGGTTTAAGGATAAACCAGAGGGAAAGTAAGGTGATGCCTGGTGACTTAACAATCTAGTTGTGGGCTGTCTGAGATGGGAACCATCAGCTACACATGGGAACTGCACACTTGAAATGTGGCTAGCCCAAACTGAGATGGACTGTATGTGTAATATGCACCTGAGTTTTGAGACTTAGCATGAATAATGAAAAAGTAACTCACCAATTTTATAATATAGATTCCATGTTGAAATAATATTTTAAACATTTTGGCTTAAATTTTAAAATATTAAAAATCAATTTCACTTTTGAAAATCCTTTAAGGAGCACCTGGGTGGCTCAGCCAGTTTAAGCATCCGACTTCGGCTCAGGCCGAAGTTTGTGTGTCAGGCTCTGTGCTGACGGCTCCAAACCTGAAGCCTGGAGCCTGCTTGCGATTCTGTGTCTCCCTCTCTCGCTCTGCTCCTCCACCACTTACGCTCTCTCTCTCTCTCTCTCTCTAGCAAATATAAATAAACATTAAAAAAATTTAAAAAATAAAACAAAATACTTTAAAACTGAGGTTACTAGGATGTTTTAAGTTATATCTATGGCTCCTGTTACATTCTGTTGGGCAGCAGTGGATTAGACTCTATGAAATCCAAACTTTTTACAATAGGATTTAATAAGATATCTCTTTTCCTTTAAAAAATTCTCCTTTTAACTTGTTTTGAGTTGGTGTCTGTCTATTCTTAAAAACCAGATGGAAAAGTGCCTTGGAAATAAACACAACTCTATGGTTGGAAGTTATTATTGTTAATTTAATAACAGTTAAGTTCCATGATTCCGTTAACTTTTTCCATCAACAAATCCTATTGGCTCTGTTTTCCAAATATACTCAGAATTTGACCCCTCCTCACTGCTACATCCCTGTCCACTCTCTGCACACCTGGGCTCTTCTCACCTCCCTGGTTTGACCTTGAGGTCCTGAGAACCATCCTGGTCCTCTCTCCCTATTCTCCTCCCTCCAGCTGTTGCAGCCTCTGTGCTGCTCAGGCTCCTTCTCGCCTCAGAGCCTTTGCATTGGCTCTGCCGGTGCTGCTCTCTGATCTATACCCACATCTTCACTGCCTTATCTCTTTGAAGTCTGGACTCAAATATTGCTTCTTTTTAAATTTTTTTTCAAAGTTTATTTATTTATTTTGAATGAGAGAATGAGCAGGGAAAGGGCAGACAGAGATGGGGACAGAGGATCCGAAGCCAGCTCTGTGCTGACAGCAGTGAGCCCTATGTGGGGCTCAATCTCACGAACCGCTAGATCATGACCTGAGCCAAAGTCAGACACTTAACCCACTGAGCCACCCAGGTGCCCATCAAATATTACTTCTGAGGGAGGCCTTCCCTGTCGTCTTCCCTAAAATTATAACTCTTATTACACACACACACCCTCCGTATCTCCTTCCCCTTAGCATTTGTACTATCTAATATCTCATGCATTCTATCTGATTTATCTGTCTCCCCTAAGTATAAATAAATTTACTAAGGGCAGGACTTTTTCTTTGTCTTGCTCATTATTGTATTCCCAGCATCTAAAACAGTGTCTGGTACATAGCAGCTTCTCAATAAATATTTGTTGTATGTGGAGGATCTCAGAGAGCCTATCCTTGTGTTAATAAATGTTTGCTCTATATTGTATGGTCTACACAAAGCTCCTGACACAGCCCTTAACCTCCAGAGAGGATATTTAAAAGTGGTCCTTGGAGTTCGTGTGGTGCCCGATGTTGGCATTTCTGTGCAGGGAACAATGGCCCCAACAAACCTGGCTGATTGGAGCGTTGACAGCTGCCATCGTTGCTCTTTCTGAGGCATCATCCCACTTCTTACCTTTCCAGCCTCCTCACTATGAAGTGTGGATAAAGGACAAAATGGCTTTTCAAAGAAGATAAAGAAGTATATTAACCATCTGGTTGGCTTCCTAGAGTGAAGGCAATTATTCCCACTAGACCCAAATAAACTGTGGTATTTCCTCATCAGTTCACTTGCACACTTTTTTTTTAATTCAGTGAATACTGTACTTTTATCTTTACAACCTACCTTCCCAAACGTGGCTGGGTTGACTTGGGTCTGAGCATTTTGACCACAGGTCTCCACATAAATCTCATACATCAGGCAGCGAGGCACACTGTACCCTTCACAGATACAGAAATTGTCAACCAACCTGGAGGGAGAGGAAGACAAGGCAGAGGAAATTGGCATCAGTTTTTCTAGAGTAGGACATTTTGATAAGGATCAATAGTCAAACCATAAGTGTGGGATCCAAGGGAATGAAACCTGTTTATTGGATGCAAAGGCTCACCAAACAGCATCAATAATGTACCTTTTTGTTCTCAACCCAGACATAATGTATTTATTTTTTATTAAGTCTTTAATTTTAATTCTAGTATTGTTAACATACAGTGTTATACTAATCACATACAGTGTGATTAAACAATTCTATACATGAGTAAGTGCCTATCATAAGTGTATTCTTTTTTTAAAAATAATTTTATTTATTTCTAGGAGAGAGAGAGAGAGAGAGAGACAGCGTGAGCAGGGGAGGGTCAGAGAGAGAGGGAGATACAGACTCTGAAATAGGCTCCAGGCTCTGAGCTGGCAGCACAGAGCCCGACGCGGGGCTCGAACCCACGAACCACGAGATCATGACCTAAGCAAAAGTCAGACGCTTAACCGACTAAGCCACCCAGGCGCCCCGATAAGTGTATTCTTAACTGCCATCACCTAATTCACCCATCCTCCCTTCTGGTAACCATCACTTTGTTTTCAGTAGCTAAGAGCCTGTTTCTAGGTTTGTCTCTCTTTATTTCCCTTTGCTCATTTGATTTGTTTCTTAAATTCCACATATGAGTGAAATCATATGGTATTTGTTTTTCTCTTACTGACTTATTCTGCTTTGCATTATACTCTCTAGATCCATCCATGTTGTTGCAAATGGCAAGGTCTCATTCTTTATTACGGCTGAATAATATTCCATTATATATATATATCATATATATACATATATCACATATATATATGATATATATATATGTATGTATCACATCTTTATCCATTCATCTATTGATGGACACTTGGGCTGTTTCCATAATTTGGTCATTGTAAGTAATGCTACAGTAAACATGGGGTGCATCTCTTTGAATTAGTGTTTTTACATTTTCTGGGTAAATACCCAGCAGTACAATTACTGGATCATAAGGCAGTTCTATATTTTTAAATGTTTATTTATTTTTGAGAGAGAGAGAAAGGGAGGGCCGAGAGAGAGGGAGACACAGAATCTGAAGCAGGCTCCAGACTCTGAGCTGTTAGCACGGAGCCTGATGCAGGGCTCAAACCCACGAACCATGAGATTATGACCTGAGCCAAACTCGGACACTTAACCAAGTTATCCAGGTGTCCCTGGGTAGTTCCATTTTTAACTTTTTGAGGAGCCTCCATATTGTTTTCCATAGTGGCAGGACCAGTTTGCATTCTGATTGTGGTCTTTTAATGATCGACATGGTAGGTTTTTATTGTTTTGTTTGTTTTTCGGTCTTTTTTGTTTTTGGCATGTGGGCATATTAAAAAGAAGCCCAAATTATTGGCTCATCAGGCACAATCTCTAGAGCTAAAAAGTGGGAATTATGAACTAGCAGGTGACTGCTGGAGCCAGCACAGCCCATCAGTCCCTGTGTGCCTGTGACCCAGGGCACGTGTGCAACACTTTGCCTCCCTCACCCCGTTGTTTGCACAATTTTTAAACCTGAGTCCTATAGGGCAGGCCACTATATTTTGATCCTTTAAACTGAGATGAGATATAGAATACAAGAAACTGAGAGGCAGGGATGCTTTTTCTTTCCAGCTGAGTGGCATTTCTATGCGATCTGCAACACCCTAGACCTCTGCTCAGGGTGAGGTCTTCACTGCTCAAGTGCTCCCGTGCCCAGGGGCAGGTGGGGGCCCCTTGGCAATGAGGGGCTCTACCTGTGGCTCACAGCCCACAGCCAGCCCTCTTTTTCAGCAACCGGTATGTGTGTGGGGCAAGAAGTAAGGGAGACTGAGGTCCAAAAGTGTGGTCCATAGGGACATCTGATCACAATCTTCCCTTTCCTGGTTGAGGAGAGACTCTTGGGGTTCTTCGCATTCTCTTTCTGTTTCAGAGAAATATGCAAAGTAAGCCAATATAATTCTGAAACACAGAAGAATTTTTCAGCAGGGAATTTACCAATATTTCTTATCCTTTCTCATTGATGATATACAGCTTATTTTCTGGGATGACGTATGCTGAGGCCCAAATTTACTTTTCTTCAGCACTGAAGACCATAGTCACAGTTGCCGACCCATTGGCTTCCTAGAAAAACAAAAAACTAATATATGGCAGGGGGTGGAGGGAGGAATCTTTGGCCCTGTATCTGAGGTGTATAAATGACCACAGGCCAGGTGGCTTAAAACAACAGAGATTTATTCTCTCACAGTTCTGGAGGCTGAGAGTCCAAAATCAAGGTGTCCATAGGAATGGGTCCTTCCAGAGGCTCTGAGGGAGAATGTGTTGTATGCTTTTCTCCTAGCTTCTAGTAGTCACTACACATCCTTGGCATTCCTTGGCTTACAGATGCATCACACTCACATCTGCCTCCGTCTTCACCTGGGCTTCTCTTCTCTGAGCGTCCTCTCTCCTCTTGTTATAAGGACACCAAGGATTGGATTGATGGCCCAGCTGAATCTAGTATGATCTCATCTAAACTAATTACATCTGCAAAGACTCTGTTTCCAAATAAGGTCACATTCTGGGATTCCAGATAGATACGCATTTTAGGGGAACACTATTCAACCCAGTACCTGCCCAAGGAGGGGATTTTCTAAGAGTCTCCTTAATGTCATTGTGAGAAGGTGACATTTGAGATGCTTCACAATGGCTTAAATATAGCTGCTCTGGCACCAATTATCTGGCTCAATCTTGAATACAGGATGGTGTCTATTGGTGGGGTGGGAACAGGGAGTGGCAAATTCATATAACTAGGTGACATTTATATTTTTTTGTTAAGATACCACTTGCTTATACATGAAAAACCCAGACCTGAAGTATCACAAAAAATAGCGACGCTTGGGGCACTGCAGCAAAATGTGATAGATGTTAAGTTCAAACTCACTGTTGTTTATTCATAGTGACTACTGATTTAGTCATGGAATAGTCTCCTTAAAAAAGAAACATACAAAATATTCACTCTAGTGAATACACGAACTCTAGTTTAAATTTTTGCGAACTGTTCTTCCTCATCATGGAGATTCATTTGTTCCAGGCCTCCGTGAACTGTGTCCTCCTCTTTCAAAATGGCATTACTGATGCTGAGGCATAGGAGCACATGTACCCCAATGTTCATAGCAGCACTCTCCACAATAGCTAAAACATGGAAAGAGCCTAAGTGTCCATCAACAGATGAATGGATCAAGAAGATGTGGTTTATCTATACCATGGAATACTCCATGGCAATGAGAAACAATGAAATCTGGCCATGTGTAGCAACATGGATGGACCTTGAGGGTGTTATGCTGAGCGAAATAAGTCAGGCAGAGAAGGACAAATATCATATGTTTGCACGTATAGGAGGATTAGGAGGAACTTAACTGAGGAACAAGGGGGAGAAGAAGGGGGGAAATGGTGGGGGAAAGGGAGAGAGGCAAACCATGAGAGACTCTTGAATGCTGACAAAAACTGAGGATTGATGGATGTGGGGGGGAGGGGGGGATGGGCACAGAGGAGGGCACTTGTGGGGATGAGCACTGGGTGTTATGTGGAAACTAATTTGACAATAAACTATTTGTTAAAAAAAAAATGGCATTACTGGGCCTGCTGGGTGCACAAGGCCAAATAATACTATCAGTAAGAGTAACAGTGAAGGTCCATGATGAGACTCTTTTCTCTGTCACACACCTAAACAAAGGGCTGCTTTCTGGCTTTAAGCCTTGCACTGTTGCTTGGTGACTTTGCTGCTTTGATCCTGGCTGTACCTCATTTCAGTCCATGTGCCTTTGGTCATTTCCCCAAAGTCTTCAGCCAGATCTCAGAGACTGGCCTGTGGTGGGCAGCCAGCATACATTAACTGGGAAAAATGGAAGGTTTGAAAGAGGTTTTAGTTTGTTCAGAATGAGCATCTATTCAGGGTCATGTCTTTCCTTCAGCTCAAATAGTAGTTTCTTCAGCACTTAGTCTCCTATGTGCATAGGAAATTATGATGATGAATATTGCCCAGGGCTTTGCATATAGTCGACCCAGGCTTAGCCTCTGAGTCGGAGATCCCCCACGGGGCTTTTGTGACTGGAGAACAAGCACGTGATGTGCCCAGTACACTTGCGGACACACTGAAGCTCTGATTGATACCATTTCGGTGTTCACCTCCAAAATCTTGAGCGGAAGCAAGAAAGACGTTCATGTTAGTAGACCGGCAGCACAAAAACAGCTCTGAAAAGTGAGCCTGACTTTCAGCTCCATGTGGATCCAAGGAGAGGCTGGCTGTGGATGTGCAGGCAGTAAGACTGGGCAGAACCACTAGCAGGTGGGATTGGTTCATGATTTCACACTACGCCACCAAAATGTTGTTTGGTGATCCATAATTATACAGCCTGTCCAGGTGTGGAGTGAATCAGATCACTGGATTCCTTGCTGAGCTGCATAAGCACTGTATTTTCCAGGTCTCACAATCAGATGAAGTTGATTGCTAGGATCTTAAAAACATTCATGATGTTCTCCACGTTTTGAGTGATGGAAACTCTGATAATAGCCAACATCAGAGCACACATACCTAGCCCTGCGATTATCACATTTTCCGAGTATTCCTTTTCATGGTAAAGAAAGCTATAACTCAGGGAATTACATATGCTGGGAATTACAGTACCCTTTGGTTCAGCCTGATCCAAAGCTCCTATGAATTCTGTGTCTTTCAAAATAAATTTGCATTTCATTAATTTCCACAGTCTTTCGAAATTTGAGAAAGCCATATTCTATGTGGGAGACAGTTATTTTAGTCTATGGCCAGGCTCAGCATGCATCGGGATTAGAAGATGCTTAGTTTCCTCTGAGGTCTGAAGCCAGGGGCCCCACCTAGTCAGATCTGTTTGGTCTGCACCCCCCAGCAGGGGAGGTCAAGTCCCTGGTCTTCATCCCTTTGTACTCCCCCGAGGTCTGACCACTTTTCTCTCCATTTCTACTGTCCTTTCTGCCTGTGAAACAGAAAACATCTATTACTTCCATTCTTGGAGATGGTTCCACTCCTCCTTGGAGGAGAATTTCTTTCTCTTTGGAGAATTTCTCATCTGCTTAGGACAGTGGCACTGAAGCCTCTATGAAATGTTGAGGACCTGACTAGTGACTAGAAAAAGAAGCAATGAAGTAATGCTGAAAATGGTACATTTCTTCCACATGACAACAGTCAGTCTCCCTTGTCTTTCACTGGGAAGCCTGAGCGGTTGCTGAGTGTCTGGACAGCTCAGCCACCAGTCAGTGCCCACTGCTGCTCTTCTAGGAAGCTGGTCTCCTTGGGCATCTTCTAAGACCCTCCAGGGTGCCAAGGCTCTGGGTTACAAACTGAGCGGCTCTACTGTGTGTGTGGTTTTTAAAAGTATATATTTATTTTTTAATTGTGATAAAATATGTATAACAAAATTTACCATTTAAAAATATACAGCTCAGGGGTGTTAAGTACCTTTGCATGGTTGTGCAGCCTTCACCATCATCCATCCAAAGAACGCTTTTCATTTTGCAAAACTGAAATTCTGTACCCATGAAACACTGACTCCTCACTCCCTGTCCCCCAGCCCCTGGCAACCACCATTTTACTTTCTGCCTCTATGAACGTGACTACTTTAGGTCCCTCATACAGGTGGAATCATATAATATTTACCTTTCTGTGACTGGCTTATCTTATTTAGCGTGTCTTCAAGTTTCATCCATATTGTAGTATGCATCAGAATTTCCTTCTTTTTTAAGGCTGAGTAATAGTCCATTACATGTACATATCACATTTTGTTTATCCATTCATCTGTTGATGGATACTTGGATCATTTCCACCTTTTGGCTATTGTGGATAATGCTGCTATAAACATGCATGTGCAAAAATCTGTTTGAGGGGCGCCTGGGTGGCTTAGTCGGTTAAGCGTCCGACTTTCGCTTTGGTCACGATCTCACGATTCATGGGTTCGAGCCCCGCATCGGGCTCTGTACTGACTGCCAGCTCAGAGCCTGGAGCCTGTTTCAGTCTGTGACTCCCTCTCTCTCTGACCCTCCCCTGCTCACGCTGTCTCTCTCTCTCTCTCTCCTAGAAATAAATAAAAAATATTTAAAAAAAATCTGTTTGAGCCCCTGCTTTCAGTTCTTTGGGACACATACCCAGAAGTGGAACCGTGGGATCATCAGGGTAGTTTTATTGTCAGTTTTCCTGAGGCACTGCTATACTATTTTCCATCTGGCTGTACCATCTTACATTCCCACCAACAGTGCACATGGACTCCAATTTCCCCATGTCTTTGATAACACTTGTTATTTTCTATTTTTGTTTGATAATGTCCCTCCTAACGGGTGTGAAGTGCATGGGGCTGTGTTTTTAAGGCCAATGTTAAAGCCACCTGTACCAGTGATCTGTTGAATATTCCGCCTCTTAGACTGGATGCTTAAAGAGAAGCCCTCTGCAGGAAACTATGCTTCTCCTCACCTCTACTGCTCCACCTCTTCCCAAACTTGAAGAGCATGACCCCTGTGTTTTAGAGGTCTGCCGTGATAGGAATTAGTTCAGCTCACTGCTACAATGGTCTACAGCATCCTAAGTGATTTAAGGCATCTGCACAGCGGGCAGTCTGCATTGTCAGTTCACGAGCAATGATAGGAAGGTGTCCAGGTATTTTTGCATCTCTAATCATTCTTTCAAGTCTCTGGAATATAATGCAAACCTCAGAAACTCTAATTTACTAAATGGTGACCTGGAATATTTAACAAAGTCATCCTCATAGTCCTTTCTTTCAAGAAAGAGACACTGTGCTGAGGGGTCTGAGTTAGCGACTATAAAAGAAAGAGCACTGCTGTGTAATATTCTGAAAACATGATGTGGGCTGTCATATGTATTTAAAAATTTTTTTTCTTTTATGCAAGATAAAATATATCAAACATTTTCTGTTGGAGGAAAAGGGTAACCCTTTAGGGCTTTTCATGTTATAGTCACAAACACACCCACTCATACAATTTTTTCAAGAAGGCTTTCCTGAAAAATATTTCTTAAAACCTTGTTAAAAAGTAATCAGATCTCTGCTATTTATTCACCTTATAAATGTTAGGTTTTAGGTTTTAGGACTGGTTTCAATTATTTTCCTATTTATGAAAAGCTACAAGCCCATGAGTTCATCAGTCCCAAGGGCTAATGATATTTTTCTTTCCAGTTTTTCTGCCCCTATATAAATAGCCAGAAGTGAATTTCACAAACAGTGTGGAATGCATTGTTAAAGCTAAAAATTGCTTTGCTTTAAATTAGAAAACATCCCATTCTGGATGTCATACCAAGGGGAAACATTTCCTCTTGGGGCCAAGGCCCACGTGACTTCAGATGTGTATGTAAAGCACGAGTCCAACCAACAGGCCCCCTATTGGGGGTGTTCTGGATTGCTTCCCGCGGTCAGTGTGACCAACAGGGAAGCCCTTCCATGGAAAACCCACACCAGGAGGGCTTTACAGTGTGTGTGTGTGTGTCTCCAGTCCCATCCGCAGCTCGGGCAAGCCAGCAACAAAAGGCGCGCTGGTCCTGGGTGCGAACGTCTGTCCTTCCAGACCTTTTTTTAAAAATCAGGGCTTCGGAGCGCCGACGGTCGCTCCTTACCCTGGGGACTGGCCCCAGGTCCTGGGAACAACAGCGGAGGGAGTGACTCCTTCCCCGCTTTTCCTGCACCACCTCTTCCATTTTATCTGCCCAGGGCGCCTCCCAGCCCTAACCTTGAAACCCGGCCCGGTGGGAAGACGCCGGGGCCGCTCACCACTGGATGATGCCGCCGTGCAGGCCCGGGGTGCCCGCGCCGCCTAACGGGGCGGCCGGCACATCCTCGGCCATGGCTCAGACCCGCGCCCGCCGCACCGAGGCAGGGAGCTGGCGGCGGCGCTGCACCCGTCGGACCGTCGCCGCTCCTCGGTGTTTACTTTAGAGCTGGGCGCGCGGGGGGCGCGGGGGCCGGAGCCGAGGCAGCGGGCTGGAGCCCCCTGGCGCGCGGCGCGGGCTCCTCGGTCATGCCCCGCGCCCCGCTGTGAGGGTTGGTTGGGGGCGGACGGGGTAGCCGGCCCCTGATTCAAAAGATAGAAAAGACAGAAATACAGAAGGCGCTCTTCTCACCTTGCTACCAATCCATCAAACAAAGGAGGAAGCAATAAAGAGAAACCAATGTATAAGTCTCAGACCAGGTCGCGGTGTTTGACTAACAGTGGTCTTCAACCCTGTCCGCACTTTGGAATTACGTGGAGTTTTCAAAAACATTGACGCCCCAGCGCCAACACCAAAGGGTCTGATGTAATTGGTCTGGGGATGCGAGGGGCGTGGGCAAACCGGCTTTTACAAACTCCCCAGGACTTTAGTGATGCTGGTGTGCAGCCAGGGCTGAGAACCACTGGTCCTGAGTTTTGAAGGGAGCCGGGATCAGGACTTTTAAGAGGACGACCCCAGGTTGCTCTAGCCTTAGCTCCTGCTGGGAATTGCTGCCTCGGAGTGATCCCCTGAGCCTGCGGCCAGGTGCCGGCTGTCTTTGTCCTCAAGAGCTATATGTTCACGTCGGTGCTGCATGGTGTTGCATGATGTTGAACTGCTCACTCTCTCCCAACCTCACTTGTCTTGTGTGGTTATTGTTAAGTATTAAGTGAGCTAATAAATGCAGGATGTGTGGCATAAAGAAGAGCTCAGTCAGACAACTGTTACTTTGGCTGCTGACTGCACAAGTCCTGTCATAAGGATTTCTTCATCTAGTCTAAAAATACACTTCACAACTCCACAAAAGCAACAACAAAACAGCACAATTAAAAAATGGGCAAAGGGGGCACCTGGGTGGCCCAGTCTGTTAAGGGTCGACTTCAGCTCAGGTCATGAGCTCAGTTTGTGAATTTGAGCCCCACGTCAGGCTCTGTGTTGCCAACTCAGAGCCTGGGGCCTGCTTTGGATTCTGTGCCTTCCTCTCTCTCTGCCCCTTCCTCACTTGTGCTGCGTCAATCTCTCTTTCTCTGTAATGAGCAAAGGACTTGAATATTTTTACCAAAAGAAGACGTACAAATGGCTAATAAACACATGGAAAGATGTTAAATATCATTGGCCACGAGAGAAATGCAAATCAAAATCACAATGAAATATCACTCTACACTCATTGGGATTGCTATTGTTAAAAAGAAGAAATAAAACAAAATCACAATTGTTGATGAAGATGTGAAGAAAGTAGAACCATGTTCTCTTGCTGGTGGGAAGGCAAATGGTGCAGCTGCTATAAAACCAGGCGGTTTCTCAAAAAATTAAAAATAGAATTAACACAGGACCCATCATTCCACTTCTAGGGTATGTACTCTTGGGGAGGAAAAATTTTCCTTCATCCTTCAAAAATTTCTATGGCTGGTCTAAGGATTAAACTTGCATCAGGCAGATTAACAGGAGAAAAACAAATTTAATTTTGTATGTATGGGAACCACACATACATACATGAAAGGTATAAAGAGAAAAGTTAGATGAGGTTTATATGCCATCCTGAGCTGAGGAATGGGTAGCGGCCTGGGGATTCAAAGGGGAACAGGGCAATTCATAGGACAATAAGAAAAAGGGGCAAACATTTGGTAATTAGATGTTTGCCCTGCCATACTGATGAGTTATACAAATAAAATTTATCTCTGTAGTAACTTTATTCTGGGAAACACCCCCAATTTAGATGGTTCTAGGTGGTTAAGGGAGGGGCAGAAGTTTCTTTTGAGCCCACAGGGTGTCAGCTACCTTTAGTTCAAAATAGTCCCCATCCTAACGTGGCACATTCTGGGGAGACTTGTTCTGAATTCCTTCAGTATCCAAAAGAACTGAAAGCAGGGACTTGAACAGACATCTGTAATTTGTACCTCATTCATAGTGGTATTATTCACAATAGCTAACAGGTAGAAGCAATCCAAGTGTCTGTCAATGGATGAATGCATTCACACAATATTTCTGTGGTATTTACATACTATGGAATATTAGCCTTAAAAAAGAACAGACCTCTATTACATGGTACAACATGAATGAACTTGAAAGACATTATGCTAAATGAAATAAGCCAGTCACAAAAGGATGATTCTACTTATATGAGGTACCTAGTACTGTCAAACTCATAGAGACAGAAAGAATGGTGGTTACCAGGGGCTGGAGGAGGAAAAATGGGGAGACGTTAATGAGTATAGAGTTTCAGTATGGGATGAGGGGAAAAGTTCTGGAGATTAATAGTGGCAGTAGTTGCATAATGTAAATTACTTAATGCCACTGAATTGACATCTTAAAACTGGTTAGAATGGTAAATTTTATGTTATGCATATTTTGCCATAATTTAAAAAATCTTCCTCAAAAAAAAAAAGACACCCCGCAACACCACACGCATACATTTTGGAAGCAGGGCAGAGTTTCATTCAACAAACAGCAATGTCTCTCTTCTGTGTGATAGCACTAGAGAGTAGTTGCTGGGGCATACTAGAGGTCTCCAGGGCCAACACTCTCCCTCTAATGGGACACCATCATCAGGTACCAGGAGTAAGTTTCCAAAAGCAGTTCTAGAGGGGAGATCACAGGACATTCATTGAAAAGAGCCTGAGCCTTGAAGTTTGGCCAGGTCACTGGAGCCAACCTCAGATGGCATCTGGCTTCCCTTTAGGGAGCTACACCAGGAATCAGCCTGGTCCTGAAATTTGGGGAGAGTATTTTTCTGGTGTAGGGGGTGGGGTGGGAAGGACTTATGATCAGTAAGTGATGGAGGCCGATGTTTGCCCTGCTTATCTTCTCAGCTGAGTTTCCCTGTTTAGGGCTGGCTGCTTTAAAAAGCCATCTATAGAGGGGCACCTGGGTGGCTCAAACAGTTTGGCATCCCACTCTTGATTTCGGCTTAGGTCATGATACTGAGGTTCATGAGTATGAGTATCATGTCAGGCCCTGTGCTGACAGTATGAAGCCTGCTTGGGATTCTTTCTCTTTGTCCCTCCCCCACTCGTGAGCACACATGCTTTTTTTTTCCCTCTCTCTCTCTCTATCTCTGTTTCTCTCTCGCTCACTCTCAAAATAGATAAATTAACAAAAAAGCCATCCAGTAGGGGACAGATGACACCACATCAACTCCTCTCAGGCCAGGAGTCAAGGAGAACAGCACGTGGAGAGGCTCCTTTATGACCTGACAAAGAGAGGAGGCCAACTGTGTGGGTAAGAAGCAGGTTGACAGCAGCTGGTTTCAGGTAGTGCCAGGAGACTCCACTGAACAGGGAAAGCTGAATGGTAACTGTGATGAAGGACTGGCAGGAGGAGAGAGGAAACAACCAAGTGCCATGGGCTAGAAGGTTCTCCACGGAAGCTCTCTTGAGTTCAACACTTTTTTTTTCTGGTTGTTTCCAGAGAAGTGGATGGTGTCTCAGGACATTGGGTGGGAGCTCTGTCAGGCTGCTTCACCCATTTTGCTTTGCCCTGAGTGCTCACATCCTGGGATGTGAAGTGGGACAGGTCCTTCTCAATGGTCTATGGAAGCTGAGGACATGGCTCCCTCCATTCTTTATGTAGGTCCTACCGCAGCTCCTTGCCACCCAAGAAACTTCTTAAGATGCCCACCCATTTTCACAGAGACTGGAAATAACCGAGAGAGAGGCTTCTGTTATTAGGCTCAACTTGTTATGGCCAACTTGAGGTCTTATTATATTACTGATGATTATGTGATATTTGCATATTAACTTTGCTCCAGTCAGTACTAGGCATTGGAACAGAGCTTGGAAATACAATGGAACACCATGATCTTCTGGTTGACCAGATTTGATAATCATCAAATATTAGATGCGGCAAAATCCAAACATTACTTTGCGTTACTGCAGAGCTGTTGAGGCCAGTTGGATGGAGGACTATAGAAATGAGGCCATGGGGTCAATTTCATACCCTCCACCCAAAGGACCAGTTAATTTCATCTATGACAGGTGACAGCTGGTGTCCCTAGTTTGACCAACCCTCATATAGATGAAGACTCTGAGTAGTTACATGCGAATACAATAACATTCTTAGATTTATTCACAGTGTATGCCTTCCTAATGTGATAAATATGCAAAATACATTTGCTCTGAAAGTGACTTTTACCAGCAGGATAATTAAGGCTTTCATCTGGGTTGAGCATATTTCCACATAGACTGCTAAGTAGAATTAGGTTTAAAGTTCATTTTATTTTGGGGGCACCTGAATGGAGCTCAGTCAGTTAAGCGTCTGACTTTGGCTCAGGTTATGATCTCATAGTCTGTGGGTTCAAGCCCCGTGTTGGGCTCTGTGCTGACAGTTTGGATGCTGGAGTCTGCTTTGGATTCTGTGTCTCCCTCTCTCTCTGACCCTCCCCTGATCACATACTCTCTCTCTCAAAAATAAATAAACATTAAAAAAATTTAAAAATAAAATTCATTTTATTTTCAAAGGCTGTTTAATTGCAACTGACATAACAAAAAAACTTCCTTTTATGGCATTCACTGATGGGGTAGCCAGACCCATCTATATGCTCTCTTGTATCTGAAAAGTCCAGTCTCCCTCTAACTTAGGTTCAGCATCTGACCACTAATGTCCTATACTGTTACAGGGAAAAGAAATCTTAAAGTTAATATCAAACAGAATTCCAATTCCTCATGTCACATTTTATGCACAACAAGCCTTTTCTCCCTCTGCCATTGAATATATCTCTTTTAGTTAAACAGTGACTTCTTTTGCCTGCTTCAGTCTAATTGGTTTCTAGATTATCTAATTAGTCTCATTTCACCTTCTAAAAGGGCACCAGCTGTGCCTTATCCTTGCACAAAACCATCTCTAATCTGGGGTGCTTAATTTCATTCAATCCTTACAATTA